ATAAAAATCCAAATGAGACACACACAGCCTAATCCTGTAAAAAGGATGACATATGAAAATATTATATAACTTACATGTAAACTTCTTTTTGACTTTGGCTGTAAAACTTATGGGTCAATCACTTCCCAATCTTTTCCTAGCTGTAGTAAATTTGGCTAGTAGAAGACTCATAAGTTAAAGGAAGTGATTCCTCCCTATATTAAACACTCATGAGCACTCATCACTACCTCTGAAAGACAGACAAAGACCATGCAATAGTTAATATATACTTTAAAAAGAGCTCTAAAAGTTCTTGAGAAGCATTAGTATTTATTTCTGAGAAAAGTGATTTGGTATATGATTAGATATTCACTAGACACATGCCTAAATAAAGTTAGAAGGTAAAATCCCTTAAATATCAGAGAAGTGTCCTTACAATTCTCTGATTTTGTAAGCTAACAATACATTTTATCTACTTATGGCCTAATGGTAGGGTTTTAATAATGAGGGATATGAAGAAAATGAAGCATCTCCTTGGAGGTGCATAGATAAAGGACAACAGACATAATTTGCAGATTTCTGACTAGATACACAGGGGAAAAAAAATCACTGTATGGGTGAACAAATAATGGACCAAGTTCCACAGAAAAGATGTGGAATCACTATCTGTGGAGATACCTAGAACTCAACCAAGTGCGTCTCTGAGCAAATAACAGGATAATTCCCTGGCTGGACTGGATGATCTCCAGAGCTTCCTTGCAAACAAAATTTCTGTATGATTCTATGATTATGACTACGTAAAGACCACATTCACCTGAATCATGGAATGTCACTGCATGTACTCATATCAGCCCCTTGATGTCATATCAGTCTTTTGGGGTTCTTTTCTGTTCTTATTTTACACTGTATCAATCCTTATAGACACTGAGAAATTTTTAATCAGATTATTCTGTTTGCTGACCTACCCTAAGCATGACAATGGCCATATGTTAAATGTGATTTCATTAACTGCTTTTTTGGGAGACCTTACCTAATAAAGCTTGCTAGCAAGATTGCTGTTTTTTCACAACAAATGTGGCTTTATAACTAATGAAACTAGTGCTACCTGTATTGTGAAGAGTTTTGCCATTTTTGGCCTATCTAGATGGCCTCTTATTCTGGTGGAGATACTTTGGAAGTGTCTTGAATATCTGTATCAGTTATAGGCAGCTTGCATGTATTTCTTCTTGGGTGAAATGAAAAATTTAATTATACGAAAAAAATGCAAATTGCTGCCAACTGTGTTAACTGTGAGAGAGTTGCATTATCTTCTAACATAAATTGTCAGTGAATTGAAGAAAAGACGTTTTGGAAGCTGATCTGATTACTGTCAGGGAAAGTGCTCAAACTCAATTGTTGGCAAATGTCCAGTACCCATCACTGAACGATCATCACCTCATCATTCAGTCTTCTCAACTGACATGCAAAACAACATCCAAATATTCATTGCACATCTGTGCTGGACAGATTATGCATTAGCAATTCAAATCAATTCAATGTACAGGCAGTTTCTGTAAAGGCGTCTGTTTGGGTGAGATGCCTTGTTGTCTGGGATGGATAATAAGGCAACTCTGTCTAATCTTGGAGAACAATCAGCCCATCTTGAGAAGGTGACTGACTACGGATGCTCTTGCCCTGACAGCGCTAGAACAATGCCCCCATAATGCACTTGACTCAGCTGGTAATAAAATCTACTTTTGATTAGCAGCCATGGCTTGTGTCAATCACTGCACGATGTACCATTGTCCTCTGGTCCTGAACACAGTTTATTTACAGGGAAACAAAAGCTTTTTGGATATGGCTGCTGCCCAGAGATTGCAAAATAGATTGAGCTGTCAGCCTCACACACTAGATGAAGATTAATGAGTTGTGCAGACAATAAATATGAAGCAATGACCATAAATATGCTAATAGGTATTATCCATATACACTATAATTGCTACAAAAATTAAAAAGTAGTGTAAAGGAAATAGGTCAGAGGGTGACAGATAGATAATCTTGGATGCTGAAGATCTTTGGTTCAGTCAGATTCTCTACAGGTTTATTTCCTTCAATTAGACCCTTCAAAAGATTAATTGTTTAAAAGCTGTTTGAATAATCTCTTTTGAAACAGAGGTTTGTGGGAAAATGTTTATGAAAAAGTGACTTCAATGAACATGTTATTGAAATAAAAAAGGTGACTACCAAAAGCAGAGATTAATGTCCCTGATCAGCTGCCCAGTGTCACTGTGAGGTAAATATTTCTAAGTGGGGGCTGGTGAGGACTGGCAAGGAAAACATACCAAAGAGACACATCAGTTTATATCCACAAACACAAGATATTAAAGTCCTTCCAAGCAAAATATAGAAGAGTTGCCTGCACATCTGATTCCATTGGTTTGTTCGATGTTTTCGGCTTAGCCTATTTTTCCTTATTTTTTTTCCTTTTTAATTTAAGGAGATAAGAATGCCCACCACTCAAATTTTCAGAGTACTTCCAATCCAGCCTCTGGCTTTCCAATTCCTTTCAAAGAGCACATAGTCTATATTTTTGACACCTATGGATTTTATTTGTACTTGAAACTCAGGGAGTTAAACTGTTAGCTCTGTATTCAGGTGCTCTAGCACCTAGAGCTACTGAAATTGTAGTGCCACTGAAAATAAGAGGCAGCCATACTCTTGGTATTCGTGGCTTTGACTGTCTGGTCTCTCAGGCTTAGAAGTGCCACCGGATGCTTTTCAGGTCAGCTCACACCCCCACCTCCTCGATGACGTTTTAGTTTCTGGAATGAGGAAGCTAACTTACCCAGATATTCTCCCAGGTACCATTTACTGTTACAATGCCAAGCTCTGTGATAAAAATGAATTGTTTTGTTGGGGTTTTTTTTTGTTTTTGTTTTTGTTTTTTGTTTGTTTGGTTTTTTTACTTTCCATACTTTAACTAGAAGTTGCATCCATTTAGGTCTTAAAGTATCACTGCTTGGATTTTGACAAATAGTCCACAAAGACTTAAAACTCCCTGACTGCTTCTGTGCCATTGGCCTTGAAAACATAGCTGAACATTAACTAGACTCACCTAAGATCTAGGAATTTACCCTTTTTAACTATAAATGCCAGTAAAACAAAGCACAAAAAATAATTTTAAAAAAGAGAGGGCACCATTTAGGAAAATGTCTCACACAAAGCTGTGCAGTCAAGAGAGAACCACGCCTTTCTGGAAAAATTAATGGAGAAAGAGGACAACTGGAAGCTGCAGGCTCAAGAACTGTGTTCTTGCTCCCAGTCCCACTTCAGCAGTGACACTGTGAAGGAGGCTGTGATGTCAATGTCACACATTGCCAGGGCACAGCAAGGTGCACTCCCACCAAGGGAGGTGAGCACAGCAGATCCAGATCTGATAAGCAGATTAAACCAAGAGTCCAGATCATTGGGCAAGTTTGTAGAGGCAAGTCCAAGGTTTCCCTTGAATCCCTCCAGTGGCTTTCCTTTCCTTATTACACCGAGTTTCTTCATCTTATTTTTATGACACTTCTAGTAACTTCTTCTTTCTCTGCTTATTTTCTGATGTCTCTGCCAATCTGAATTGCCTTGAGACACTTTTTTTGCAATAAAACTTTTATTATATCTAGTTTTAATTCTTTTTAGTTAAACAACTTTGTATGTGTCCATTATGATTTGTGGTTCAGGACTGAGTAAATTGTCACCTCATATAGAGTCTCTGCAGCTTGTAAAGCCTTAATTTCCCTTGGCTTTGCCAGACTTTACCATCATTTCCTAATGAGTTGTTTGCAATATTAAATAAATTGGATTACAAAAAACTGAAAGAATTTACTATTTTTGAATGAGGAATCTTCAGCAATATGCCCAAAGAAACTAACATTTTTTGTTTTATTGTGACTTTGAAGAAGGCCTGTAGCATTCACTGACCTATTCTTATGTGGAATTTTTACCAGCATTTAAGCCTCAACTTTAGATATTTTATAACATTAAGTAATTAAAATGATAAATGAGGAACCTGGGAAATTATGGGGTTAAAGATACATCATAATTACAGAAGACCTAATGGAAGCAGAGTAAAAAGCAGAAATAACTGACATTAGAATTAAGGAAACTAACATATATGAATTAAAGAAAAGTTGAATGAAAGGAGTTAAAAGATCACTGCTGCTTAGGGGTACCTGGTCCAGATATTCCACTATTCAGATAAATAGCTCACATAAATATAAGAAGAGAGGAAAAGATTTCATATCCTTTGTTCTATAGCCCACCATGTATAAATACAGATATCACACTATTGTGAAAACACTATAGTTTTTATCCTGTATATTTCCTCTTTGAGAGTCATTCCTGTAGTAGTGTGACCTAATCAGATAGTCTTCTTTACCTAAGGGAGGCCTGTGGATTTTTAATGAGCCTTATTTAAACTCCTGGCTAAGAAAGGCTGTGATAAAGGCATGTGTGCCATTTGCAAAGGCCTGCTCATTAAAGGCAGAGGCTCTGCTTTAGAGGGACTTGCATGAAGAAGCACAAAGCATCTGTGTCAATCTGCTCATACAAGGTCCCCTCACGGTTCCTTCCATGTAGAAATTAATTCCAACCATCCATTGTTAGCTGGGTTCTGGTTTCCAGCTCTGTGTGAACCAGTATTTTCAGGGGTAGCTGTACCACAGCTGAACTCTGGATGTGGTAACCAGCCCAACTGAACTCTCTGCATGCCACCACTTTACTACCTTTTTGTCTCTTGTCTTTACTCAGAGTTGTAGGAATTCTAAAAATAATGCAGTACCTTCTACAGATTCAATTCCTTGCAATAGGGTACAATGCAAAAGAGTGAAGAAGCAAAGCTTTCAGCTGCATCAGTTGCCAAGCAATGACTCCAGCACTAGTAATTTGTTCTAGTGTTGCAAGAGGAAATTACTTTGTTTGCCTAAATTCCATTGTGGCAACAGCAATAAAAAGCTTATTGATAAAGTTCAGTTTCGTTTCCTGGCTGAGAATAAGTTTCAGTTTCTATTCTTCCTTACCATGGCAGCAGTTTCATTTCTGGACTGTCAGCTGGAGAGTGTATAAAAAGGTGGGCTGAGCAGTCTCTGTGTGCTGCCCTGGAATTCTCACCAGCAGAAAGCAGCATGTCTGACCGGAACGTCCACAATGCTGGCTTCACTCCCTCTGGGATCACAGGAGGATCTCTTGCTTCATCACTGATGTCTCAAGAAGCCAGAGCCTCTGGGGGAGGTGTGCCTTCTGGAGGAGCCACTTCTACTCTCCAGGAAATGGGTATGAGCAATTCTGTGTGTGACTCTGTGTGTGGTTTTGTGTTTCAGTGCATAGGATCAGACAGCTGTTTCTCCTTGAAAGTAAGCTTGCCAAATAACCTCTTCTCTCCTATATTCCTGCATGGCACTGAAGAAAGACGATTCCTTTATTTAGCTGTGTGCTATGAGCAAGATATTATTGAGGATGTTTTCTGTGTATGCACATACTATTCATGAATGAACATATACATATGTGGTACTCATGAGGTTTTGGACAGTGTTTATTTGAAGTTTGTGCTATCTCTCCATTCTGCCAGGAATCATCAATAATATGAAAAGTCATGGTAGCAACAAGCAATGATGCACTTATGCAAGAACATGATCGGTGTAGCTACATTTCATATGAATTACCAGATTTCCCTTGCTCTTCATTCACACACATCCATACAGGGAGAACTCCCAAAACCTTATGCAAACTCTCTAAAGGAGAGAAATTAGTTGCAGTCCAAGAGACAAATTCTCTTGGGAATGTATAGACATCCTTGACAGCCCCTATTTAAGTGCTAAAATAAGGCACAGCTGCCTTTCACATGAGCTAACCCTGCAGGTGTTTGCTGTTCTGCTGCTGGCTGGGAGCAGTCCCTGACCAGACGACTCTTACCAGCTTGGCTCTTGTTTAACCCCAGATCCCATGGGATTTGTGCACAAGGTATTCTCCCTGCCAGACCTGCCTGTGTGACCTGATTCAGCAGCATCCTCTGAACAGGCATGACTCCACAGAACAGAGTGCCTCCTGCAATCCTGCTTTACCCAGCAGCTCACTATTAGCTCTCTGACCTCTATTAGCCTGATAGAGGCTTCAAAACTCCTTCTGCCCTCGGGGTCTCAGACCCACATACTCCATGTGTCAGAGGTATGCCAGCCAGCAGGCTGATTATAGGTGGGCATCTCTGCCATTTTGGTCTACCTCGAGTCTACTGTTCCCATAATCAGCAGGGAGAAATCCGAAAGATGGAGCTAAATGTGACTTCTCCAGCCATAAAATGGGTGGTTGATCAGGTGAGCTGGCCAGGGTCCAGATTCAGGGACCATCTTTTAATAGCCAAATATATGTTAACTTGATTGAAAGGAAATAAGTTGGATTTTTTTTTTTTTTTTAAGATATGATTTACATTGCCAATATTATTCATGGAGTGAGGCCCTCTAGACAATGAGGGAATAGGTGACATAAGGGTCATTCAGAGACATAGTGCATGTGACTCCTGTGAGGCGTTTTTTTTAATTTTCACATTGTATGATTTGAGTTTAGGTTCCTGAATACAGTGTTTATTGAATATTCAGTAGGAATAAGCTTAAGGGATAGTAGCAGCCAAGGGACAGAATATGAGAGAAAGCCAGGAGAGGAGAGGGACAGAGAGAGTGAAAAGAAGAGAGGAGAGCTGCTCTCAGGCACCACACTGCCTCAGCAGCAGAAATTCTGGTACGCAGGAGATGCCAGTTGCTCACTCTAGTGATAAGTTAGCTGCACAAGCTGCCTTCTGTTACAGATCAGGGTGGTACAGCACACTCATAACCAGTGGCAAGCTCTTCAGTAGAGATCCCTACAGAGATCATGAAGCTGTCAGTTCTAAACTAAAACACTGAAGATTTCTATCCCTCTGTGTACTGAGAATTTTTATAAGAAACAGAAGCAAAATAAGCATTTAACTATGCCTAGTTTTATTCTTGCAATCTCTCTGTTAACGATGGACTTTTATGAAAACCACCATTTTGGTGAAGAGAAGTCTGCACGACTCAAGGAAAAACCTTTGCCATGCCGACAGGAGATACTCCAGAAGAGCTTTTATCCATGTGGAAAATGCTAGCTCTGTAACACTGCCAAGACAGGTGTGAGCTTTGGCTCCCTGCAGCAGGAGAGCTTGCCACACATTCTTTGCCTGATTGAGAGCTAAAAGGGCCTGATTTCATTTCCGCAGGTGCTCCCTGAAATCTCTCCAAACACATCTTCTTAACCTTTTCACTCAGACTGTAACCCTTCCTCCCCCCAGAACAAACGTGCTCCAAGGAGCGGCTGATTCTGCAGTGGGACATGAGTATTGTTCAGTGTCACTTTACAGAAGATGTTATAACAAGCTCATCACCAAAATATTTGAGCATCCTCCAGGAATGCTTTAAGCATTATCACTAATATTTGTCATCACTGATGCTTTACTCATCTCCCAGGAGAAGAAGAGTTTGTAAAGGAATGTTTTACTTGGGACTTAGTTAGATTGAGATAAAGATAGACATATAAATTGACCACTGGCCACCACAATTTGTGGTACTTGAATTTTACAGGTATCTATTACAGGTTTATGTGAGGGAAAGTGAAATGAAAAGAGCATGTTCATCACCTGGAACAGAAAGAGCAACACTTCCTATTTTCTACAGAAGTTTATTCCACAGTCCTCAGGCAGCTCCACAGAAAAGTGCAATTTCAGCAGAGGCAAATTGTACTAAAAATATTTTGGAGGTCCAGGTTTATCAAAAAACTTATCTTTTGATACATTTGCTAGCCTTGAATTGTTTTAAAACACAGTAGTTTGGAATTGTCCTATAAGGACAATGTCCTTTCTTTCTCAGTAACATATCCTTTGCAACTGTTCTAGGTGCCAGAGGCACAACCCACTCATCAGGCTATACCAGCAGCGGGATCTCTGGTGGATCCAGGGCTTCTGACACAATGTCCAAGGAGGCCTCAGCTCATGGAGGTGGAGTTCCCAGGGGTGGCACAACTTCCACTGTCCAGTCCATTGGTAAGTGAGAATCCTCTCAATAAAGATGACTTAACTTCTGAGGAGTCAGCAGTATTTCAGTTCATTTACTGGACATTTACTAGATGAAGGGATGCAAGCAACAGGAGTGGCTGCTTTGTACTTGTAGCAATATTTCTATTGTTTGTTCCTGTAAACTTGGTGGGAAGATGAAATTGGGCAATTAGTGGAAATAACTATGCCACAAACTTGCAAAGATATGAGTGGACAGTAGAATCAGAAATCTGAAACAGTGACAGAAAAAAAAAGCCCAATGGGCTTTTAGATGATGCTTTCATCAGCACCACAGTGGCAGTTCAATAGTTCTTTTTCAATTACAAATTTAGGATTAAACCAAGGGCTCCACACTTGAACATGCAAAGCAGATATAGTGGGAAAAAAACAGTGAGCCATGAAAATAGAGTTATCAGACTGATAGACAGGAATCATTAGTTTACTTCTTGGGGCCTTTCAGCACAGCCTTCTTTCCTTCAAAGGAAATTCATTGGGTCAAAACCACAGGAATCTGCCTGCACTTACCAGCTCAAAGCAGAGACCAACAGAAATCTCCCTCATCACTCTGCCAGATAAATGCAACCCACACCCAGATAGAACAAACCAAACTGCGAGAGAGCCCAGTCTATACCTGAATGCATCAGTAAGGATGCTCACTGTGTTACTAGGATCCTGTGGGATTAGGAAGAGCCTTGGAGACAGGATTGAAATTCTTAATTTTAAAAAGTGTCTTTCAAGTAGTAACAGAGACCTTTGATTTCTAACCTGGGAAGGTTTGTAGCCAATGCTTTTATTGTCCGTATATTTTACTGTACTGCAACTTTGCTTTTTATTGTCCTTACTATTTCTCTGTATTTCTCCTTAGCCATGGGTGGAAAAGGAGGAAGACGCTGAATAGAAGAAAATATCAGTCCAAAACTGAAAGCAGTTCATTCTTTGCCATCAGCTTTGACATCTTCTCCCCTTTTATTATCTCCCTGCTATGCCTTCCACGTGCACAAATAGTTTCTGTTAAAATGATGGATTCTTTGTTTAAATTAATGGGGACAGAGATGCGGGGCAGTTCTTTCCTTGATTAAATATTCTTTGAAGCACAGACAAGCACAAGCCAATAGAAGTACTTGGACTGCAAGGCTGCCTTAGGTATATCCTGGGTTTAGCAACACTTGGCTCTTCAATTGCAAGTAGCTTGCTATGTTTATTTCACAAAAAGTCATTACAGTGAAAGTCATCCTGTTGTGAGAGAGAAGCATAGAAACACTTGGTAAAGGGTAGTTCCTTCTGGATGTATTTCTAATATGCTATCAAATTAAATCCTACTTAATAAAGGAGACATATAATCAAACAAAAACAGGTCCCAGGACTGATTTTTGTATACCTATAGAGTTTTTAAGGCCCTTTGCACAATAATTTCTAGTCTCAGTTTGCTTGCAGCAAGGCATCAGCTTTGTCCCAATCAGATTAAAACTTCCCCTGCAAACTTAGGATAGGTGTGAACAGGTAAGGAAGAGAGCCCATTTTCTGATGCTGGTCTCACTGTTGGGACTTTTTGCTGTTCCTCACACCTGACTCCTTTCCTTCATATATGCTTGTACAATGATGTGTCACCAAATACACGTAACATGGTGCATTCCATATGCAAATTCCCACATACAAACCACCCCACACTTTCATCTTCCTTCTGTCTTTGTAGCTCCTCCTCCTCCCTCCCTCTGTATTTCAAACAAAACCACACAGCACAGCTTCTTCCCGTTGTCCACTCCAAGATGGAGGGAGGGAATGTCACACCTTCAGGCCAGGAGTTAAGAGGTGCTGGATTTGGGGAGCTGCAGTCAGCAATCTTCTCCAATGACTCCTGTCACCCTGCTTGAGCATTCCCATCTCAGCTGCATTTCTCCACAGCTGGGAAATGTGTTTGCTCCCATGCACCTTATGCTGTCAGACATGGACTTCTCCCTGCTGCCTAGGCACCTTCCAGAATGCACACAAGAAGTCAACGTTCACATCCAGTTGAAGCAAAGTTGAATTATGTGTTGAGTGGTAAAATGCTAGCATGGAGGAGAGACTAATGAAGAGAAGAAATGTATCTTCACTTGCTGTGCTACCCAAAGCACTAAAAGACAACTGAAAAACAAGGGCTTCATTTCATAGGCTAGAGCTGATGTCCTAACAAGGAGATATCTTGGGCAAATGTTTAAATGTAACCAGGACTTGAATTCATAAAATCATAGAAAGATTAAATTTCACAAAGACCTTGGTGTGAGGAGAATGAGGGCAGTTCTCTAATCTAAACTTCACTTAAAGGGTTAACCTTAATGTTAGATTTGCTTGCTTAGGACTTTGTCCCATCAGATTTTGAAAATCTTCCAGGAGGATCTATCCTACACTTTCCTTCCTAGGTCTAGTGCACCAGCCTGGGACTATTAAAATACAGCTGTGACCTACCAAAATAACTTTTTTCCCCTCTATGCCCCTAGCACTTGCATGATTTCAAGCCAGAAAGTCTACCCTGGGTTTTTCCCATCCTGAAGTTTTTCTCCATGTGCAAATGCCAAGTTACGGTCTCAGAGAGTAAAAGGGGCCTTGATCCCCACAACATTCAAACAACTGCTTAGCACTGATTATGATGATAAATGAGTCATAAGAATGAAACCAGTGCAAGAATGACAATAGTAGAAAAAGTTAAGTACATACATAACTCATCAGACAAACTGAAGCTGCTTTATCTGAGAAACAATGTGTGACCAAATTCATGGCAATTAATGATCTTGTTTCTTATTCAAAGGGGGGAGATTTAAAAGTGGGTTTCAACTTTAATGTTGTCATTAGTTGACCTCAGGTATTTTTGTCTTGTTAAAAATGACTCACAATAATGAGAGCTGACAAAGGGTACTTAGAAGGGTACTAGAAGAAGGAAACCAAAGCAAGGATGATTAATCACTTATCATTTCACTTTTCAGCTTTTATGTAATTCTGGTGTTAAAAGTTTGAATTATTTTGCCATCTTTAGATCTTGTGTTGAGAAATAGCCTAGATAGCTTTGACAAAGCAGGGAGAATTCTTAGCTGCATTCAAAATCCCTTCACTGAGTCAGCTGTAATAGGTCTGCAGGAGAACAAAGGTACAAACATCCCCCTGGAAGCCTTCCTCACAGACTGCTTCAGCAAATTCCTGTGTACAGAACTACAAATGAACTATTTACATATTTAACAGAACATAATTGGAAAGGTCAAAAAACAACAAATATTGCAATTTGAATCCTTCATGTCTCTCAATCAATCTTTGCACAACAAATAGACGGAAAAAGAGAGAGAAAGGAAAAGAGGCAGCAGCGTGTGATTACCAGAGCAATAGCACTGGAGCAAGACACTGCAGAGAGCACATAGCTCTCTGCACAGAAATCAATTTCTCCCATGGGATGAGATCAATAGCTGTCTGACAGGACACTATGCAGGCAATTTAATAGTGTTTTATCTAAATGAATCTATTCCTCCCTCCAACCGACCTCACAGTTCATAAGAAGTCTCTCTTAGTAAAATAGATTTATTTATTTTTTATAATACAACAGGAAAATATTTCTCATTCTGAAGATACTGCCATTGTCTATTAAAAATCATTTTTCCTTCTTAGTTACTCATTACCTACCACTCTTTCTCAACATCTTTATTCTAATTAGCTAACTCATGGACACAGCCCATAAAAATTACTTTCAGTTACTCTGGAAAAATTTTTCTTACCCCAAAACATTCTAAACTAAATATCAGCCTTTCAGAAAAAAATAAGCCCACATAGCAGGCAAACTCAGTTAACTCAAAGAAGTATTGGTATCTGAAACTACATTTTTATGCAACAAAAAACTTATTTATTGAGGAATTATTTATACACAGAAATTGATTGTCCAGTGGATCTATTTTAATAGTACTTAATAAATAATAAAGTCAATCTGATCGTATTAGTAGATATCTATGTGAAGTAAATGATAATGAATGAGAAACCCTCATAAGCATAATTCCAAGGATGGATCTTTGTCACTCTGGGAGTTTGGTATTGTGCCCCAAAGGCTCTTGTAAATCCAGCTGCAGTTCTTGCTCATCATTTTGAAGATTAGGAGCTGATAAGCGACAGTCAAGCCTTATTAGAACAGGCTAAGGCAACAGGAAACATTAATTGGGTAATTTAATACACAAGGAGACATTAAATGCCTGCATTGTGGTTCAGATGCTGTTTCCTCTATTGATTTCTTCACGTCTTGTTCTATGAAATTCTAACACATTCTTGGTGGAGAGGGTGTAAGACAAACCCTAAGTTTAAAAACACCAAAATGGTTTTGTATTTCCTAGGGCTTCCCTTTACTCCATATGTTAGTGAGGAGCCCATCGGTAGCCCTGCTCTTGCAAGCAAAAGAAAGAGCAGTCTCTTGCTCAAGGAGTCTTCCAACAAAGGAGGGGAGAAATCCAAGGTCTAGTAGCTCTCTGCAATGAAATGCTCCCTCACCATCTCACTTGTTCTGGTTTCTTCACAGTTTGTGCACAGAGCAAGAGCCCTGCAAATCTGGGAGGAAGCTCAGACAATTTTGTCCCCTAGAAAGCTGGGAGCACTTAATAAAACCCTCTTGCACTGTTTGGGAAGAAATGTAGAAACAGTTGCTGGACTGATCTTCCTCTGGAAGTAAGGAAGGTGAATGTCCTGACATAGCTGTTTCTTCTCTAATGCCAGAATTAATCCACTTATGTGGGTGGATTTGCTCTGTTCCCTCAGTGGTGGATATTGATGGCTGGAACACCAAAATCTCTCAGTTACATACTAGATCCTGATTTGGGTCCCATTTTAAGACTTCATTCCTAAGACATCTTTCCCACAACTGAACAGAAATGAAAAGAGGTGATCTGACAGTGTAAAAAATTCAAAATGAAAAGGGAACAAGCTTTCCTTTACCTCACTGACCTAGGCACTCTTTGTTTCTCATTATCTTGGGTGATCAAGGGTGATAATTCATGGACACTTTATTTTAATAATTTACTTTTTCAGCAATTTAAATATTAAAATGCATTTTGAAGACATGCAAGCCTCATTAATTTCAAATAAACCTTGTACATTATGCTCTGTTTAACAGCATTCAATCCCACTTTTTGTAGCCATGGTCTCTCTCTTCCACCCCGCAGCCTGGCACTGCTCCTGCTGCCAGCAAGCTTCCCCATGTCCATGGCATGGGCTGGGAGCTCACTGTGGACACAGCACCCTTGCTCTTCAAGCTCCCTCAGGACTGTCACATTTGAAATTGGCATCTTCTTCACACCTCCCCATGTCTTAAGGAAGGAAACAGCCTCTCTGACTTTATTTATCATTCCTAAAGTCATGGATGCCTTGGTAGAAGAGGCAGGGTCCATCTACCTTCCAACACTGCATTAATTGGTGCTCTGGCTGTGCCCCTTGAATCTCAAGGATTGACCCAAACACAGTGATCCAGGACTGACCACTGGACCAGAAACCTGGAACAACACCAACATATTCCTTTCAAACCATCTACTAGGTGTCCAGTGGCTGGGTTACACAGGTCAGTCCCTTTCCTCTTCAGGAGAGGAAGAGCCCCCAATACTCTTTCTGTGGGCTCTCATTCCACTGAAGATTGAAGTGTTGTAACTGCTGTGAAAAGCAATAAAATTGTGATGACTGCCCACATGGTATATTTCCTGAGAGCCCCACACATTAAACAGACACAACTAATAATTCCCTTTTAATACACAATAATTTAAAAAGTCATCATCATTATTTTAGTAATCAACATTAAATCATTCCCCATCCTTCTCTGTACCTCATTGGGATAATAGTAAGCATTGAAATATAACCTGGTTTTTGCTTAGGTAAGATAAGTAGTATTTTATGCAAGCTATCTTCTTTTTACCCATTGTTCAATGGGTTTTGGGTTTTGTTGTCTGTGGTGTTTTTTAAGGAATACCTAAATGTGAAAATAAATTAACCCGTACAATTTCCTCAATGTAATAAAATTTCATAGAAAATATTGTTACAAAAGAAGTCACGTATGGCACAAAAACAGTTCTTAAAATTCAGATGTTGCTTTTTGCAGTCTTTTGCTATTGGAATTTCCACCCAGCCAAGATTTTTACTGGCCAGTTTTCAGCTACCTCTGCAATTTATGTTTATACATAAACAGCTCTGATTTTAATTGCTATCAACTTCTTATACTTGATAGATGGTCTTAAACATTTTTTGCCTCCAGAGACTGCTTACTTTGCCAAGTATTGACACACTTTCAAGATTTATACTTCTCTGAGGAACAAAGTTTACAATAAAATGTAATGTATTCCGTGGCTGTGAATGGTAATGTTGCTA